TAGTTCAACTATACAGATCTGAATGTGAAAAAAAAAGGGCTCATGATGATGATGATGATGATGATCTGAATGTGAATATGATAATTTCGGTGTTCCTCAAGTTCCTGCGACATCACAAAATATTAAACTATTCTATTTGCTGATGTTATATCCATAATAATTTCAACGAAAATGAGTTTTTTACTAAAACAACATAAAATTGACATCATAAGTACAATGACATCAGTTATTGACTGGCTATATATAGAATGACAATCTTAAAATAAATATATCAAAAACTAATCTAATTAATTTCAATAATTTTAAAAATCAATCTGATGACGTATTTCTAAATGGACAAACTCTAGTATCTCAAATGAAAAATTTCTGAGTTTAATAATTGATTCTAAATTCAGTTTGAAAAGAACATACTGAAAAAGTGTGCATTAAAAAAATTCATTTTCATTACCGTTGTATAAACTTACTAAAGTAAGTAGTGTAAATACGGCAGTCATAGTTCGCATACGTAAAATCCATCTTAAGATATGGATTATTAATTAGGGGAAGGGCACTGATATTAATATTTTATTTAATGCGTAAAAAAGGTGCATTCGTACTATATGCAACTTAGGGTCGGATATTTCTTGCAAACCCTACTTCAAAAGTCTCCGAGTTTTGACACTACCGTTTCTTCATATTTTAGAGATTGGTACATTTGGTTAATTAAATAATCAAAAGTTCATTTAAGTCACAGGCACAAGATTTAAACCAAAGAGCTATGAGAAACCCTGAAAGGCTAGTTTTGAAATACTTTCCCAAGACTGAATAATTAAAAAAATATTTATGCCATGTACAAAAAAATATATAATAAAATACCAAATCATTTCAAACAGTTACCGATAACTCGGTTTAAATCTATCTTACGTAAATGGTTATTCGATGGCATTTTACTCAATAGACGATTTTTTTAAATACGAGATTCAGTAAATTAATATGATTAAGCTTATAAGCGACACAAAGTTTAGTTGCTATAATTTGGATCAATTTTGATGTTTTTTTATGAAATTTTCATTATGATATGTATATTTGACATTTTATCAATAAAATAAGTAACTTTTGTGGTTACATGTAAAATTTATAATTTTGTATAAGCTTAACGAACTAAATAAGTCTTAAGTTCTAACTAAATGTAATACCTCCTAACAATATTGTACCCCATATAAAGGCGAATAAATAAGACAAATCAATTTGAAGGTGTTGCAATCTCTGAGGTTCCGCGTCCGATTTCCAATCGGATCTATAATAAAAGTACTTTAGCTACTTAATTTAAGAGGTGAGCCATGAAACTATCTGATATAATTTAAGTTGTTCAGTTTTATTATGTCTATTGATCATTCACTTAATCGTTTGTTCTGAATGCGATTGGGACTTTAGACGTAACATAATTCCAAAAACAACTACCATTGAAAGGAATTAGGAAATTAGACAAGCTACTGATATAATCAAAACTAATATTATAATCTAAGTTTAAAACGAGGTTATCCGATAAAGAACTAAAGTTATCGACATACCGCAAAGTTGTTTTTATTTGTCTTATTTTATAAGATGAAATGGCAATTGGCTGATTATTATTTGCCAATGAACTGATAATCAATAACGGTTAAGTAAGTTAACAGTTTATTTATAATTTTTTAAACGTATAAAATTATTTCTAAAACCGTTATTATAAAATTTGTTGTCCGAAGATTGTCACTAGTTTTGCTCAAAGCTAATATTCTCCGCATCGCTGGCGCAATCCAGTTTTCTGAAACGCACAAAACCCATGGACGAGTTCCTTGTGATTCATTTCAACCGAAGGCAGCGTAACGTCAACATGTAGCCCTTTAATATCGAAATTTTTCTTTCGTGGACGCTGCCGTCGCTGTCGTAATATAATCTATGTACTTAAATTTTGTTTTTTTTTTAAGTATAATATTAAATGTGTTTGAAGTGATATCCCCGTATTGGGTAAATGTTGCATTATTTCTAATCAATTTAGCTGTTTTTTTGTCTAATATATTGTGTTCTTTATATCTTTATATTCTGTTTCTCAGCAATATATTGTATTTTAGTTTAATTTCTTTTTATTAACGGATGTTTTTCAGCAAAACATTATTATTTAATAACTAAAATCTAGAACGATTTTTTGGGTGTGACATTTCAAAAAACCCATTTGTTTCTTTTATTTAACTAGTAATGCACACCATTATTATCGTGCCTGTTTGTCTGCTTCATCACTGATCAATACCCATGGCGTTATTCAATCTGCTTCTGTTCAATCTTACCTCGTACCGCCTGAAAACCAATGATGGCACAGCCAACCTGATGGGCGTGACAATGTTTTTTTTATTTCATTATGGATTCCTTCCAACCCTTAGAAAGCTTTATGATGATCATCAATATTACCTAACATCTTGGTGCTGAAGCGCTGGCTTTGACCCATTTGCTGATCCTAACACCCACACCACTGGACATCTTCTGCCGTACATCTCGCCGGAGCACTACCAGAACAGTGGATGACCGAGACCTAGCTATTGCGAACGGTTGACTAAGGCCATATAAAATTGTATTTGACTTATAAACTAATCCACATTGCGATTTTGCCATTGAACCCTAACCCTGAGTTCTTATGTCGCCATATTTTGTGAGTAGTAAACATTCATTATAAAAAAAATACTTGTTAATTACCCATCATGTGTTAACGCACTTGCGGGTCCTAAACCCACTAATAACCATATCTCTTTTTTTTCAGTGGCGCCCAAGTCTAAACTGGAAACCGCGAATCGACAAGCGTGGTGAAGAAAGATCTACAGCAAAATGGAGCAATAGTATGATGAAGATCGCGGGTAAAACTTAGACGAGAATGACCCAAAACAGAGAAAAATGGACCGTATTAAGGGAAGACTGATTGTAATAGACTTTACTGATTGACTGTTTAACTGATTGTTTTAGGAGTTGAAAGAGGCAATAAAAAAAGCTACGCGAAGCAGGCACAAAATTTTGTAACAACATTTAAATTGAAAAAAAATCATATTTACATTAGAAAATGAACATATTATTTCTATATATAATCCTTAATAAAAAATAAAAGAAAATAAGACAATAATGACAGTGGAGAGAACTAATCACGCTTTACAATCACAAAGTACATACAATAAATCTGTATCACCAGCCGACTCAGTGTACTTCCTATCACTTCTTAGCGTTTACACCTTCCCTGGACTACGACAAACAAAAATCACCTAAATCAGCCCTGTATATATTTTTAGCAAACGAACTCGACGAACTATATATCTATATATACTTATAACGAACTATATATATATATATTATTATCATTAGCCTTTTTAGGTTCCCACTGCGGAGGCTCAGGCCTTTCTTATGGATGGTTAAGGAGGATGAGCCATGACCCTCCAGGCTGGCCCAATGTGGATTGGAAGGTATTAACGACTGCAAATGCAGCCGGGACCAACGGCTTAACTTACCTTCCGAAGCACGGAGTAGTTCTAGATAATATTCTTTTTTTGATCACCTGTCCGTGACCGACCCTTAAGAAAGTTGCTTAACAACTACGCCGTAGCACTCATAAATATAGATTTAGATTATTATATTTCATCAGTTTTGTATGCTATATCTTTAAGAACTCGGACACGGTAATTTTTAAGAAGTGTTTTTTTATTAATACGCTAGGGTAGCTGGCATTATAAATACTTTTTTTTTGCCTGCGACTTTCTCCGCGTGAAATTCTTCTACTAAAGAAATTGAAAATAACTATATTACTTTCAATTTTAAACTTCCATATAAACTTTCATCCCTATTTCAATACCTTTGTCTTTTTGCGATAAAAGTTTAACTAAATTCTTTTCTAAAGTCAGCATTATCTCTATACCCAATTTCATTAAAATCAGTTCAGTGGTTTAAGCATAAAAGCGTAAAAGAGGGTTACTTTAGTAATTTTGGATAAATTGTCTCATCTTCGTGAAAGTATACAACAAAACAAAAATAATTGTCGACCGTAAATTTTATTTCAATCTTTTTCCTAGATTTCATCCGCGTGAATTTAAAGTGTGTTATTGATATTTCCGAACCATAAGAGGAAACAAAAAAACGTTCAACAATTTGTGCTTTAGAGGCGTAACAGAAAGACTAAAGAGCATAGTTACTATCGCATTTTTAATTATTTAGCTGAATTTCTCAACGTAAATTCTCCAACTCTTACTAGATGCATTTTACCAATAGATATAACCTTGACATCAAGATCTTAATAATCTGCAAAGATTATGATGATCTACGTTGATTGATAATATTATCTTATACTCGTAATATTCTACAGAAAGTAGTTTGTTCACAACTGTTGAAACTTATCCAATTATTATAAATGATCAACTTCATAAATCGTCTGGTATATGCTAATTTGAAATATGATCTGGCTAAATCAGATTAAATAGAACAATGTGTACTCCTGAAAAATAATCACTCATCTGAACCGGATCATATACAAAAGCTTTTAAAACAGCAAACAATGATTAACAAGAGAGGGAACAAAACAATTGAGATACTGACAGTGAGCCTCACCACCGAGCATAAATTTTAGGCACAACATACCATTGTATACGAACAAAATCATATTGATTTTTATAACAATCCGAGATTCAATGTCAAACTTGGTCGGCATCCGCTTGATCGACACCTGTTACGTTCTTCTCGATAAGTATTACCATTTTTCCTACAAAAGCCGATGACGTTAATAGATTAGCCTCTTAATATTTATATTTCTTAGCACCGATATACATATAAAGGACGAATAGAATATACATTATTAGATCAAGCGCACCGCGCACGTGCACGTCCGTATCCCGACCGGCTAGAGGTTAAAATACGGCAACACCCGTACGTGGATTAATTCATTCATTTTTATTCCGAATGCCACTCGACAGCGACGTTAGCTTGCGGAAAATCGTTACCGGCGAACATCAATCGGCATGCTAAGAGTAATGGCATACGCACTTACACATTGGTACACGGTCGCGGCTTCCTTACATCGCGCCACAATCGGCGTGTTTAATGGCAACACTGAGATGAGCACATGCACTACGCGTGGTGGAGCGGGTGCGGCGTCAGCGAGGGCGTGTACTGAAGCGTCGCGACGGTACCAGCGGCGGGACGAGCGCTCGCACGGGCCAGCGCCGACACACGACAGCCTCCGTCGCAATGACGAAGCGGCCGGGCACGCGCGCGCGCCCTGCGACATATACCCTCCCCGACACTCCCCGACGCCCCGCGAGATAACACGACGCGGGGGTGAACAAACCCACAGCACTTCTCCTTCTAACACAGTGATGAGGTTAAGGATTCAGACTTTCCCGTGGCATTTTACGGTTCGATCGCCCTAACGTACGCTTTGATACCTAGACGCTAGTTTAGAAATCGTCTGGACCGCGGAGTTCGCGATGAGATGCTGTGATGTGTTGCCGCGTATGGCAACAATGAAGCGCGCCGTCACACGTTCACAGACAAATTAAATAAATGCTGTCGCATTTCACCGCTCGCTGTAAACACACATAGTTTCGTATTTTCTTAAAATTCTAAATAAATCCTAACAAAATAAAAGATACAAAGCCATTCTTCTCAACTCGACTAAATCAAATTATGAAAATTCTAAATTAAAGTCGAAGTAAAGGTACTTTTTATTCAAATACCATTATTATAGCTAAAGCTAACGTAAAAAATATAAAAAAATACTACATTGTATTTCAACATGCCAAATCGAAACTCTCATTTAATAAATCCATGACAAATACAAATATCAAAACGTTAATCGAAACATTATTAAGAGCACCGTATTGAATAAATGCCGCCGTTTAAATTCTTCATAGGAACGTGAATTATCGAATACGATTAAAATCGCGCAAATTGATATTCCTGGGAAAACGGCAGATGACGGGACGGGGCGGCGGGCGCGACGGCCGCAGCGAGCGACCACCTCTATCGTAGTCCGTAGCTACTAGCCCGTAGCTCGTAGCTCGTAGACGCTATACGAACAGTTCGAGCAGTTAGACTAATTGAAATTTATGAACGCAGTTTTAAAGGCAACAGAATGTTCATCTAATAGAATGTTCATCTAATAGAATGTTCATTTTGTTAGAAAAATTTCAAATTCAATTCTTAAATTTCCATACAACGTGTCAAATATGTAAATAAAAAAGATAAAGTTTACATATACAGTTCAAAAGATATTTTATTAAGTACTTTCAAGTTTGAGAGTATTGAAAATTAAAAACTACTGAAAGTAAATCTGTTGGGCAATACAAAAGAACTTTCTAAGCTTACAAAATATCATAAATATCACTTTTATAACTTATAAACTTATCTTCTCTACTATAATATTATAAATGCGCAAGTAACTCTGTCTGGTACGCGTTGAACTTATTATTTGACATTCAAATTCAAATTAATTTGTTTGTAAAATTTTTGGGTATACAAACATATGCGAAGGTGTTATAGCCAAGTCAAATCATTTCCACGCGGAAACATTTCCAAAAGGGACCACGCGGGCCAAGCCGCTAGCGAAAGCTAGTTCATAATAAATGTCAATAATTAAATTAAACAATACAAAATTAAATCAACTCACAAAAAAATACTATTATACGCGTGAATTAGTATTTAACTAGCATACAAATAATATTATAATGTTATGTCATTTAAATAGTATTTTACAGAATAATAACATTTGTCTAGAGATAGAGTTTACCTTGAAAAAGGACATAGAATACCTTTATTGCGAAGGTAGGTTAAAGGGGTCGAAAGTTTTCAAAAGTCTCCGAGATGATCCAACCCGCAAAGAGGTGGCAAACGGCGCGTGAAGTGGTCCTCAGGATGTCCCCGTGCATCGCCTCCATGATCCAAAATAAAATTACTAGAAATCGACTTCAAAAAAGTTTAATATTAACAACCTGCAGTGCACAACACTTCTGCCTTATTTAATTGAAGTTGAAACATAAAAGCCGCCTTTAAGACAAGTATCATGTTATTTTTTTTTTGTAATTCAGTTTTATTAAAAAATATATATTACAGTTTATACGGGCTTTATCTTCCGTTCACATTCAATCGAATAACTGATTTTAATTTAGGCGCCCTTTACGAAGATTAAAAAATATTTACAAACATAACACTTTTATTAGAAGTCTTCCAAACAACTAGAATGAATCGCCTGTTCAGAGTATTAAGTCCAAAGAGATCTATTGAATTGGTCCGGTACGCCTCTCTAACAGCGATTTATGTTGGTTTTATTGTTTTATTACGATCCCAGTCCAAGTTGCCGGTTTTAATTGTGCACCTATCCTCAAAGTGAATTACTTCAGGAAATACACTTTTAAAATGCGATTTGACCAGACTCGAAAAGATTGAACAACATGAAGCGAAAAAAGGATTTAATCTTATACTAGCTAATATTATAAAGAGGGAAAATGTGATTGTTAGCATTGGATAAGCTTAATAAAGAAGAAAGATTTAATACGGGTGTAAACAGTATACGAACTACATTTTTTTTATCGGGTAGTGTTTAATATACTATTAACGATAATCACACTTTTATGCTTATTATACTTATAATATTGCTTAAATTATTTATGAAAAATCCAATATTTTATACTTGTTGTCACGTGAACACAAACAGCGCGTGACGTCACGTCCCTCTTACTCGTATCAGGTCTTAGAGAATGAAACCTTATTCGTTCATAGAAGGATATTAGCTTAAGAGCGCCTGACTTCATAGCTGCGCCATCTTGGGGTTCGAGCCCCATCTCAGAGTGCCAGGGACAAAGCGGATTTTTTAAATATTTTTTATTAGAATATTTTTCAGTATAGTATTGTGAATGCAAACTTGAAATGAAATGAAATGAAATATTTGTCCCTCCTATAAATAGTTGTCCCTCAGAATTGCTGTGCCCTTTCAGGGCGTTCCTTGTACAAAATTTATTTATAACATCTGTATGACCTGTGACTTACATTGAATAAATTTAATTGAGTTAATTGGACTTTATTTTCTTACAATTGATTTGAAATTGATACTTTTCGGTTCAGGCCTTTTTTAAACAGAGAAAATTATCGAACTAAGGCAAACCCCAGGGCAGTTTGTTAATATATTTATGAACTTACTGGTTTTCCACCTACGTAAATTATAGCCTACTAGCTAGATCCGTCAGCGTCTTCAAGCGCGTGGTCGCTAAGGAACTGTTTATTTGGATATGGATTCATATCGGATAGTATAGATGTATGATATAGCTTTCCGTGGGTGAAAGAATTTTGATGAGTGGATTAGTATTTCCAAAGAGTACCCCCTACAAACTAACAATAAAACTAAGAAGATTTTCCACTATAAAATAATAATACATACATTGCACCAACCGGGTATGTTACAGGGGTCTAATATAGGTGGTATACGTATTATAAACTTTGACGTTAAATATAAGCTTTAGACAACCAGCTTCATTGCAACACGCGCTAACATAAACATTTTGATGATTAATGAATGCAGAACTTAACATAATACTGAGAACACACTTATAAAATATGATGCTAACCGAGGAAACGTGGTGTGTGTTGAACACACTCCACCAGAGCGATTCCGTAAAAATTGGAAGCCGAATTTGAATTCACTTAGGTGTCCAAATTCACACCGAAAGCGACATCCACTTAACCTTGAATTGGTATTTAAGTTTTGTTGTATATGTGAAGTGAATTTTGAAATGACATAGGGATAGAATATCTGAGACACGTATGAATCAACCAATCTAGTTTTATATTATTATACAAAAATGGAACCAACAGAATTTCTACATTAACATAAGTTAAGCGGATTCACTTTCAGAGCGAACTCGGACACCTGAGTGGATTTGAATTCGGATTTTTTTGTGGAATCGCAGGGCAATAGTGAGAATCATACTATTTTGATTGAGTGTTATTGGATACCGATATCAGAAACTACTTTTATAAAAATAGAAAATACTTCAAAAAAGTGAGAACTAATTACAGTCGACAATTTTTAAGATAACATTATTTTTCACATTTTTAAAGTTTCAAGTAGTTTTTTATTTTTATTATTTCATTTTTTTCAGTGGTATTTATAAGGACAAACTGATGATCTCTTTTTATGAAGTACGTTAAAAAATTCAAAATATTTTAAGTGTGACAAATACTTTCCGAACCTCGCATTAAAATCGGATCAACTAAACGCGAGATAATCGCGGACAAACAAACTGGCCTACTAGCTTCTACGGCATATTTACACTGCTCTATGATTTCTGCAGTTCTTCGCTTCGGTCGGTTATTTTGTTATTGATCAATGATATAAGCGCACAAATGTCACCTGCACTGCGCGTGCTAAACCTATCGACCAGTGTAAATGAACCATTACATATACATTGATACTATCTACTACACACCTTCGTCTCTGTCTCATTGACAGGCAAGATGTGGGATGAGAGGTTGATATATGATTATTTTCCAACGTTAAGTACACACTTAACGTTGGAAAATAATGTTCCCTTTAACCCTAGGACTCCAATTTATGCTATGGATGGATAGTACTTTAACTTATTCAGATCATTTTAATACTGAAGCCCGTCGACCATTATAACGTCTCATTCTTCTTCTTCAACGAAACATAAGGACTTATATAATGAAGAGATAAGTACTTGTGTTTTGTATTACTAATTCCACTTGAAACTACAATCAACTACAACTACAAGGAGTATGATTCTATATTAATTAATATTTTGCTACATAAAACTCTTTCCTCTGAATTTTTCTCAATTTTTTTTACCAATGATTTAAATATGTGTGAAATGCAAAGCTGAATAAGCAGTGCGATGTTTCAGGATTTAATCTATACTTATGGAGAAGTAAAGTTTCTAATTTTATTTGTAGGTAATAATCTTTCTGATGCGATCATGAAAATTCTTTCACCTGCGAGAAGCTACATCATACGTGGGTGACAGGCTATAATTTAGGAGGGCGAAGTCGCGGGAGTACAGCTAGTGTTTAATAATGATCTGAGAATCATCTAAAAATTTAAATTCACTTTCTAAACATGTGGTAATCCATAAGTAATGCATAACTATTAACTAATTTTAGTCATCTGTGGCCAGCCTTATTGTCTATATCTTGTTGATTATCTATATAAAATTCAGTGGCTGTTTGTCTCGCTAAACCTCGAGAAAGGCTAGGCCGATGTAGCTGATTATGGTTTTGTAATATTTGTCGTGATCTAAGGAAGATTTAAATAGTGAGAGCTAGTACGAAGTATACCGGGTCATCTAGTCTATATATATGTATATTAAAATTAATTGCTGTTCATTTGTATCGCTAAAACTCGAGAACAGCTGAGCTGATT